AGATGTTGGATAAACATCAATTAGACAGCAACCTAACCGCACACACAAAAAAAATCTAAAGGTTATTTGAGTCACTGCGTTGCTCCGTTTCATTAAACTATACTCAACATACTTTTTCATTCATACAGATATTGGTTTAAACAAAAGGATCTTATTAACACCTGCATGAATCAAGAATTCATAAGATGCCATAACAATGAATACAGAAAAAGGTGTTGCCATCTATGCATTGACCCTATTTCTTTCTTTTTTTTTTTGTAGGTTAATTTAAACTCAAATACTGTTAAAACAAAAAGCACCTAGTTCTGTGATCAATTTGTCTTTTGATCCTATTTAATGTTGAATAAGCAATGATTTTTGTCACTGACCATGCATTTATTTACATAATAACATTTCTATCAATGTCATGGAGCACCTATTGATTGTTTTGTACCTGACCTGACTGATAAAATAATGTCTAAAACTAAATAAAATTGTTGGGAATTTTTCTCTTCTGATAAATTGTATATGAGAAGCATGACTGCAAAAAAGGCAAATTAAAACTAATACATTAATCCTATCATGAAAGAAATAATGTTTATTCCATATTGGAATTATCTTTAGAAGATTTTTCTATATGAATTGGATTTTGAATAAAACAGCATATTATCCATCCACTGAATATGATGTGATTTTACAAATAACAACTTACAGTTTAACGTTATGGTAAAATGTTCTATGTACCATTGGTATTGGCTGGTTTTGGTAAATATGGATCATTAAATACATTTTTTCTCAAATCGGATAAAATATTTACTGTCAATATGTGGTTTAGTTGACTTTTCAAAAAAATGATATTCACTCGGCCATTGTCTTCAGTGAATATGAGTTCTACATAAGAAGATAAATTGCTTCGCCGAGCGCAGCTGGATGCAACCGCGGAGTGCCTGGAGAAAACCACCAACCTTCGATAGGAAAACTGACAATCCTAGTCAATTAGGATTGGAGTCGATTGCACCCGCACGAGCGGGGTTCGAACTCACGACCTCAGTGTTGACTGGCTAGTGATTACAGTAGTAACTACTTCGACCACTCGGCCACCGAGGCCCCCGTCTGAAATTGGATTGTAATTAAATATTTGACACATAAAAGGTTTCTGACACAGAATAACTGTAGTCAAAGAACTTAGAATTGGTTATATGATTTGAATTTATATTCAATTTTTGCTTTTGACCCCCCCCCCCTCCCCCCACAAAAAAAATTTAAAACTTACCCCCCCCTTTTTTTTTTGCTTTTGTGCAATACACTATGCTGTTGCGTATTAACCCCCCCCCTCCCCTGAAATCTGAAATGAGAAAAATTGACCCCCCACAATTTCTTTTTACCCCCCCCCCCCCCCCCCCTTTTTCCCCAAAAAAAATTCTTTCCCTCAAGATATGGTCATAATCTCAATTCAAATTTCCAATGGAGTTTGCAACCATAATTACCCATTTAAATTTACCATAGTGCTAACTTAATCTATTTTATAATAGAATTTAAAATATGGTGTCAAATCTTTCATATGGATTTTTTGGTAAAAAAAAAGATGCAACATTTGCAGATATTTTTACTGGTCTTCCTTGATAAATATGCATTTCTTTAAACATTGTATTTGGATTATCTCCCTTACACTGCTTTAAAATTGTCTTACTTGTTCATTAACCATTACTTTATACATAATTCAAAAGCAGTGTAAGGGAGGTAATTCAAATGATGTATTTGAATTACCTCCTTTACACTGCTTTAAATTATGTTTTGTACTAAAGTATTTGTCCATTGACCAGGACACCCTTGTTTTTCCCCTTTTTTGCCCCTAATTCCTAAACGGTTTGAGCAATAACCCCCCAAAGCAAATCCTAACCATCCCTTTGTGGTATGGAAACTTGTGGTATAATTTCAGAGAGATCCATACACCGTTCCACAAGTTATTGTCTGGAAACTAGAAAAATGCTTATTTTTGGCCCCTTTTTGACCCCTAATTCCTTAACTGTTGGTACCATAACCCCCAGAATCAATCCCAACCTTCCTTTTGTGGTATTGAACCTTATGGTAAAATTTCATAGAGATCCATTCACTTAAAGTTAATGTGCGAAAACCAATGTGTCTTCGGATGTCAACGATGACGACGCCAACGTCATACCAATATATAACAATTTTTGCAGTCGTATAAAAAATGGTGGGTTAAACCTGGTTTAATGGCTAGCTAAACCTCCCACTTGTATGATAGTTGTTTATAGTTCCGTTGTATTGACAAAATTGGTTAAGCAACCCAAACAGACATAATAGGTTGATGTGACAGAAGCTATTATTTCACTCAAATGGCCTATAAAACACAGGTAGTTTGTTAAGTGCCATATTTAAATACAATCCTGCAAGTCAGAATAATGTATTCAAGTAGGTGTAAAAAATATTTCTGTGGACTTCTACATTTTGAGTAAGCATGTTCAATCTGACTCATGGTGCCAGTCTGCTCTATAGTACTCTTGTAGGATATAAACATTGTCCTGAGTATGCACATGAAATTTACCACTAGCCAATAAAGAGATGTCAATCAAAAAAAAATTGTTCTTAATGTTTTAAAAAAGGAATTGAGTTTTGCAGGTTTTTCTTCTTTTAAAGATGATGTTTTGGTTTGAATTTGTTTGGAATAATTGAAAATCAACTATCAAAAAATCCATTTCTTCATCAAAAAATATAAAATATATTATTCGCATCTATTATGAATTGGCTCATAATAAGATCTACACAGGAGTGTAAAGAGTACAATCCAGCCATCTTAGTTTAACTGTATTGACAAATGTGATATTGAACATTGATTTTATAAAGCATCTGTTAATTGTGTTTTAACTGACAGTACTGATTGATAAGTACATAACAAACTGATGGAAATATTACATATTGGTTGAAGGTGAGGTAAAAGTTTGTTTGTACAGTGCTAGTATAAAACAATTAGAACACTTATTTGACCAGGATTCATCAATATAAAAATAAAGAGATGTATTATGATTGCCAATGAGACAACTATCCAACTGTGTTCAAATATTGTGGTTTTAAGCTATTGCTTGTCACCATACTGCCTTCAACAATGAGCAAAACCTATACTGTATAGTCAGCGTCATAAGTTTATAAAATTTCTTTGATCTTTTATCCTATATTTAAAGGGTCTTCTGCTCTTTGGTATGAAATTAACATGATTGTAACAGATCATAAAGTGAAATTGAGTTATTTCACAATATCCTTACTTCTACTGTACAAGATACTGTTTGATGAATATCTGCCAAATTAATTCCCTCTTGTTTATAGTATCTATAATCTCTATAAGATACTTACACAACAAATACTTCTTTATTTAAAATCAATACATAGAATGGATAGAAAGATGGAAGGAAATATTACATATTGGTCGAAGGTGAGGTGAAAGTTTGTTTTTACAATGCTGGGATAAAACAATTAGAAAACTTAGTTGACTAAGATTTATCTATTTGTTTTATGCAAAATTCCTTTGATCTTTTACCCCTATATTTAAAGGTCTTTTTGCTCTTTGGTGTGAAATTAACATAATTGTAACAGATCATAAAGTGAAATCGAGTTATTATACAATATCCTTACTTCTATGATACAAGATGTAGTTTCATGAATATCTGCCAAATCATCCCTCTTGTTTATGGTATCTATAATCTCTATAAGATACTTACACAACAAATACTTTTTTATTTAAAATCAATTCATCTTGAAATACATAATATATAGAATGCATAGAAATGTTGGAGGGGGTTTCAGGATTTTATCAAACATCAGGAATTTGTCTGGATTAATTAAAAAAATTATCTGGAATTTTATTTGAGTGATCTTTCGATGAGAACACCATCTACATGTACCTTATGAATTCATAGAAACTGCTAAACATATTAAAAGCCAGGCTAGAAAATCAAAGGAAGGGCCATAAAACCAGCAATTGCTAGCCATAATAAGCACCTGATATTCTTACTCTAACTTCTAGTACTGTATGATAAAGGTCCTGATAGTTTTACCAGGGCAAGCAATTCAAAGGAACAATGGTCCGTATGATTTTCAGGAAAGGCTTGTATTGTTAAACACACGTTATATATTTACTTTACATTTTGCTCATTACAGTAGTGTGTTTCCTCAAAAGAAATTTACAACAGACAAGCAGGTTATGTCTGATGGCTTAAAGGCTCTATTTGGTTGTTGTTTTTTTTCAGTATTTTAGGCATTTATAGTAATCACTGCAAAAATTAAAAAAATAAATTCGCAATGGCATTTATTATATTCATTGTATGGTTTAAATTCTCAGAAAATTTCATTAAATTCCAATATGGGATTTTGTAAGAGATGCAAGTAAAAAATAGTATCCAACACATAAAGTAATTGTTGTGTATAAGGTTTTCAATGGGAACCCAACTAATTCAGATCAATAAAATAGGTACACAATGGCAATATATGTAAAATATAATGGTTTAGGAAAAGTTGTAATTACAAAATGGGTTCCCTTTCCCCTCCCCACCCCCATAGATATGGATTATCTTATATGATTTGCTAAAGGCACCCCAAAAATAGTTCATATAAAAAAATAAAATAGTAGAACAATGGCATTATAAGGCAAAGATTATGGGAAAGTTTCATAAAATTCTGATAAAGGGGTATAAGAGGAGTAGTGAAAACAAAAATGTACTGTAGTGTCAGATATGACAAATTTAGTGGTATATGCCACCAAAAGTATACACCAAAATTCATTTAGATGAAGAATGAAATATATAGTATAAATGTACTATGTGTGAGAAAGATTCTGTGAAAGTTTCACAAAAATTTGGGTAGCAATTCAGGAGCTGAAGCAGATTCAAATTTAAATTGGGACTAAGGAAGAACAAACAAATGAAAGGATATAGACAAACAAATGGATGTACATCCCCATCACTATGTTCCACCCATTTTATGATCATCAAGACATCTTTTAGACTTACCTTCTATATGAGTGTAGTCTGGGTTCTGGTTGATCCTATCTGGTTCCGTACTGAAGACCCTGTGAAAAAGATAAACCATTAAGTCAAAGAACTTCATACAATAGATGGTAATGAAGAGTATTATACAAGCTAATATTCGTAGTATCCAGCTGGCTATCAGGAGAAAGGCCAGCACAAATCGGGCAACAGTCATGATAAAGATCATGTTCGTGTGGTCTGGCATGTTGTCAAATAATTTTGCCCGCTGTTGGGCAAAGTTTCTGGAGGTAATTGATGAATTTGAGGACGATGATGTCATACGACTTCTTCTACGCAATCGCCTCATTGTCAAAATTTCCTTCAAAAATGTATTTATCAACTAAACGTTATTTAAAATAACCAACAAATATGTACATCCAAGAAAATAGAAAAATATGTTTTGTTTTACATTCTCTACTTTAAGTCACATGATGATCACATGACTAAAATCTACTTCCTGTTGTCTGCAAATCCATAACAATCACCTAAATGCATCTTTCCAACTCATAGCAATAGAAATACCAATAACTTCATAAAATGGAATTCATTCGCATGGAAAACAAGTTGTGTCATTTTGTAAATGGAATATATTTCCCCATATCACAAAACAAAATACATGATTATGTTGTATAATCCTTCTTAGTGAATTAATCCAAGCTTCTGAATTGTAAGGCACTTAAAATAAATTCAAAATGAATTAACGGAATTTAAAACAGCTTTCTAAGTCACTTAGTTAAGATACTAAACACTTCTTTTCATAATAATGATTAATCTCAATGCATTTCCTTAATCTCTAATTTAACAAATACATGTCCTCTTAACCATAACACGGGATATCCTTTCAGTTTTCTGAAATTTCATTTCAAAATATACAATTTTTAATCATAAACCGATTGAAAAATAGTCACCACTTATGGACAAACATATACTATTTGTTTCCTCATTAAGAACTACCGACATTCTAGCTTCATCACAATTGAACTATTTCACACTCAAGTATGCAATTGACTATCTATTTTTAGAATTCCACGTTGGGGATGAAAATCAATGATTGTAGTAATATTTCATATGTTTCCTATAATTGATCTAATTCAATATTCAATTGATATCATATGAAGATCATAAACAGTCAGAACAATCTGACCGACTCTCTAGTTTCATCCAACACAAAATAAAGTCAAAATGTCAACTTTTCCTCATTAAGATTGTATCTAATATTGATATCCCGAATGTTTTCCTCCACTACAAATAATCCTTTAAATAACAAAATTTGGGTGTTGGAATTTCCATGTTTTATAACTGTTTAATTTACCGCACTTTGATATTTTTTCTTACTATGAGTTATAGTATTTATGAATGAAATAACTCGAACAATACAGTTCCAATGTTATAACAGTCCTCAGGAATAAAAAAAAGTTTAGAATCCTGAATATCCATTTGGATAGAACTGTTTATTTTACCATACTTTAATATTTTCTCAGAGTTATAGTACATAATCTCATAACTCTCTGGATGAATATAATTCACATCGATATTTATAAAAACATGCCTTTACCAAGAATACTATACATCACTAAGGATGCAAAAGTTATCTATCTATTTCAAACTTTTAAACTGGTAAATCTCACTTCTCCATCTTTCTCTATGCACTAATTTTACAACTTGGCTCCGAGCACAAATAAACAAACACTCGGCAATTGGACAAAAGAGATGTTCATTTGTGTTAAATTGCCGCATCTATCACCACAAAACATTTTCGTATTAATTCATAATAATATCATTAGGAAAACACAGAAATCTATACCAAGTAACGTCTTAGGAATGTACACAACAGAAAATGTGTTACATTTCTTGGTCGTTTTCACTTTTTGATCAATATTTAGCCTACAAGTTAAATCAAAAACATTCGGCTGAATCAGATTCAACTGATGCAGGTTTAATTAATTCTCGTTTTCAATTCTTTGTTGGGATAATGTTGCATCAAATTGTAAAAATTCCAGGTAAGAAATTATCTTCTGCTATTAAGTCAATCAAGGTCAATCAAATGTTTGATTCTAAAGCACATCATTATGTAAGCATAAACTGCCACTTGATACAGATGAGTAACAGGTATCACCATCTGGTTGTAAAATCATGTTTTCATGCAGAATATCAATTTATTTCTTTTCAATAAAACCACAAACTCAATTGTAAGAAAATTGGTGAAGTGTTATTTGCACATTTATATCGATAATTAACTTCACAATCCTTCATGCCATTTAGATTTTCATGATTGTCAATATAGTCTTATTTTTCAATCCTAACTTTATACAAATATCCTTGCCACTAAACTGTCATTCTCTACAATTTATATATTTATTTCATGTATCTTTTATTAAAAGAGGTGGATATATTCATTCACCTCCAGTAACCCTGTCCAATAATTTAAACTGTTCATTTAAAATGAGTACATAACTTCCCAAATTTTTTCTTCAGTATATTCATAAAACATATATTTGTATAACTCTCCCACACTGACTTTTTCCCAATTACTTTTTATGTATGTTTGTACACCCATACACTTCTGATAAAATATTTATCATGTAAATACAACATAAGTATTTTCGTAAACCCTTATAAAAGTAATACAAGATCGACTTCTTAGGTTGATTACTATTTCTATGGGTAATAGAAAAAGAAAATGAAAGTATGTTAGGCCAGTTAAAAAAACATCATGATCCTCTATCATCTGGTCCCATGTATCACAAAATGGGTTGTAGTAAAACATAAAGGCTATACCTCGATGAGACAGCAATGTAATGACAAAATTAATCAGTAGACATTTAGAGGGCAAAATACAATCTCCAACAATAGGCAAGTGTCTATACAATATGTTTAGCTCTAAATTCACAAGAGCCTATAAAAGTTGCAAACAAATTTAACAGAAACTGTCAAAAATCTCACTCTTATTCTCCAAAAATTAAAAACATTGAGACATGACAAGCATAATATGGGACAAGAACATTTTCTCTTTGACCTCCTTGAAAATGATTGGCCTTCATTTTTTTTTTCAAAAATCTAGTAATATAGGATAAAATTTTCTACTTTTTTTCTTAAAGATTCAACATTTAGCATATCCAAGTTCACTGAATTGTACTCTCCAAATAAAGTATATAAGTATTTACAGCTTGTTCAAAACCCAACCTTATAGAACAAGGTGTTTTATTAACAAAAGATACTTCGCTGTCATAACACAGAATAATATTTACTGGCCTATGTCCATCCATGCAAATAATTACAGGTATATGATAAACCATCAGGTGTGCTATCCCATCACAATATATATATATCTGTTTGATGTATTAGGTGCTAGAAAGTTACCCCCAGAACATCACACAATTAGCTTAATAAAGATTTCTGTCTACTTATACCTATATACCTACAGATGTCACATTGGGAAGAGCTAATTCATACCTTAACAATAGAGGGTAGAGTTGACAAAACCCTGGCATAATACCATTACAAAGTCTATAAGGATAAGTTATTAGAAGTAACAGTATGAAACCCTAAATGGTCAGAGACCCCTGCAGTAAATGAAAAAGGAAAAGAGATATTTTTTCATTTATATATGTATAACTTATTTCTTTCACATTCATAAAAAGCTCTTTTCAAATATTTTGTTTACATGGAATGAGATAAACAGTTCCTGAATTAGAAAAGAGATTTACATTACAGATTTTTAAAATATACCAATATAAACAAGAATCTTTAAATAAACTATTAACCACCAATTCCAGAAGAGCCTATTAATAAATTGTAAATCACTGATTCCACAAGAACCTATAAATAAATTGTAAATCACTGATTCCACAAGTCTTTTAATAAATTGTAAATCACTGATTCCCCCAAGTCTTTTAATAATTTGTAAACCACTGATTCCACAAGTCTTTTAATAATTTGTAAATCACTGATTCCACAAGTCTTTTAATAATTTGTAAACCACTGATTCCACAAGAACCTATAAATAAATTGTAAATCACTGATTCCACAAGTCTTTTAATAATTTGTAAACCAGTGATTCCACAAGTCTTTTAATAATTTGTAAATCACTGATTCCACAAGTCTTTTAATAATTTGTAAACCACTGATTCCACAAGAACCTATAAATAAATTGTAAACCACTGATTCCACAAGTCTTTTAATAAACTGTAGACCACTGATTCCACAAGTACCTGTAAATAAATTGTAAACCAAGTCTAGTGATTCTACAAAACCCTATAAATAGACTGTAAACTATTAATTCCACACAATTCTATAAATAGACTGTAAACCACTGATTCCACAAGACCTTATAAATAGACTTTAACTGTTTTACCCTACAAATAAACAGTAAATCAATGGTTCCACAGACCCTATATTAGACTGTAAACCACTGATTCCACCAGAATCTAAAAATAGACTGTAAACTGCTGATTCTAAGAGCCTATAAATACATTGTAAACCACTGATTCCACTAGAACCTATTCATTTACAGACAACCTACAAAGTAGCCAATTTTCTAATGTTATATGAACATTTTACTGATGATCTCCTTCTGACTAATCAGTTTCTCCCACATTTCTTTGAAAATTACATAATAATGTAATAATTTTCTGGTAATAATAATCCTTTGATGTGATAAGTGTCATATAAACAACACCCAAGGTCATACACAACTGTAATAGAATGCCATGAAACCTGAAACACAATCTTATTTACTGTAAAATAAAAGAAGAGGTTTGAGGGTAACACTAAATTCCCCTGTCGCCTATGGCAGGGGCATAAAAAATATCAGATGATACCAAAGTGGCAATAAAAATAAAAATCTGAAGTTGACCAGGAAAAGACAACACTGTTGCCACAAACAAGTCTACAAAACACAGAAATCTACACAGATGAGCAACATAACACTGAAGTAAGATTGATGCTTGTTTGATTCAGAAAAATATGCATAAAACCTTTAAGTGGTATATTTTTTGCGGTCTAATTTTGTGATTCTTAGAAATAAACATGTTGGCACAGA